ACAACCAACTTCTGTTTTGGGCCTTCCAGATCATGGGCTACAAAGTTGATCTTTTAGGTGCTCACGTTTATGACCCAGAGCGAAAGGCCTACTATCCAAATTTCACTCATCTTTTGATCAGAGTCATTCTTGAAGGTCAAACCTACATTGTTGATGGTGGTTTTGGGGTGGATTATCAGATGCGGCAACCGATGGAGTTGATTTCTGAGAAGAACCAACCTCAGGCCCCAGGAATCTTCTGCTTCACGGAGAAGGATGGAGTGTGGTACCTTCACAAAGCCAAGCGCAAGAAATTCAGGATGGATTCCGAGAACAAAATTCTCTGCTCTGATGTTGTAAAAAACATGACCTGCAAGAACATTTACTTGTTTACCTTGCAACCAAAGACAATAGATGACTTCCAGCCGGCCTGTTTACAACTCCAAACTGATCCAAATTCTATGTTTTTAAGGAAGTCTGTCTGTAGCCTCCAGACTACGGATGGAGTTCTAGTTTTGATTGGGTGGGTGCTGATTGAAACCAAATATAAGGATGACATGGATCTAGTAGTAAGCAAGGTCCTGACAGGTGAAGAAGTGCAGAAAATCCTGAAGGAGCGATTCAAGATTCAGCTGGACAAAAGGTTTGTCCCTCTTAACACCTGTTCAGTACACAGGTTTTAATTCAGGGGGAAATGGGTGAACTTCGCTCAACAACACGGTTCATCCTAAAGCAACAGAAATGAAGTTGGGATGCAGCTTTGGAGAAGTCTCACCCTGGAAAGATCCAAGGGGATGTTGGGCGAACATTTTAGAGAAGATGCTGTATTTTCTTGGGCAGATTTGGGTCGATTTAGAGAGCAAATGAAGCCCTTTACGCAAGTTGAATTTGCTGGGTCTAGGGATTTGCCACAGGGTTAGCGATGTAAGTCTACTTTGAAGTAGGAAAAGGGATAAGAAACCTTTTGTTAAGATTTCAGTTTTGAGTTTTGACTGGGTCTGAGCTATCTCTAACTTCAGCGTAATGGTGAGATTTTAAATCGGTATCTTTCCAGTCCTTATGTAGTCTCTAAGATATATAGGGAGTCCGAAAGGCCATAGATCGGGATATATGGAGGCATGGAATCTCCTGTATGAAGCTGCTCTGACTTTAACATCATCTAATGAAGTTCTCCAAAAGTGGTGACGTAAGGACCAGACCCTCTCCCCTTCAAACGATAAGAATGAACTTTTGGAAACTGGCTATTTCAAAAGGAATCCTTTATTGAAAAGAAAGACAGCAAGTCCACCTTCAAAGCAGGATCTGATATCCTTCCAGGCATGCAGCTTAAATAAAGGAAGTTAGAATCCCTCCTCCCCTTAGTCTGATGTGTATTTTGTCAATACAAAGAAGCAACATGTTAATTCCCCCCACACCTTTTTTGGGAAGTAGTTGAGAAGAGATTCCCAGGAAGTTTCTTTGGGAGCTGGAATTATTATGGCACCTTCTCTTGCTATCTCTCCAAGAGGTGATAAGTTTCCAGGCTCCAGCCCACAGTTGTAAATCGTGTAAAGGTCATACAGATGAAGTACAAGAATTAGGATATTCAGGCAACATCAAAAATGATTACTTGTATACACCCCCTCCCCTTCTTCTTCCATTGAAGAATGGCAGACACACGGATCTGACAGGTGAAGATGGACAAAGGGAAGAGCTTTTTCTGTGGCGTCACCCCAGTGATGGAATTCCTTCCCCAGAGTTGGTCTCTGGGCATCTATATTAACATCAATTGTCCTGGGCTTTTTGTGGCTTGTAATTGTATCTTGATTTTTTAAATTTTTTTTAAATTTTAATTATGCAAATACAACACAATACATCCAACTTATTCTTGTTATTTTACTTAATCATTTATAATCTCATTAAAATATTAATTACTAATTAATCTAATCATAACTACTAGTATTTTGACCTTGTCTTCTATTATATAAACATTTATAAAATTTATTCCATGTTTTGTAATATTTAGACTCTCCTGTGTCTTTTATTTCTCAAGTTAAGCTATCAGATTCTGCACATGCCATAATTTTCCTTATTATTTCTGTTTCTGGAGGTATAATTTTATTTTTCCAATATTGTGCATATAATATTCTAGCCGCCGTCAATACATGTACTATTAGATATATTATTTCCTTTTTAAATTTTTCTGATATTATTCCAAGAA